CCCCCCCCCCCCCCTTTCCATACACCTAAGCCAGCACAGGCCATTCACATGCATTATAAGGGGGCGGCACACACTGCTGTCACACCTTGTACACACAATGTAAATAAATACACATACGCACAGCAATGTCTGTCATTCCTGGCCTTCTTCCACCCCTACCACACTTGTTCCTCAATTTACCCCTTCATGTGGCTTTTACTGGCAGCCAGCCAGAACAATAGCCTTTACTAAGAATGCCATACAGCTAGTCTTAGGCGCACAGTGAGGAGGAAAACAGCCCGAAGCTCTGCTTCTAAATCACAACCAAGGCAAGGAGAGGACACACAGCTTAGAGACACACCACTGTATGGCCGAACACACTGAGGTCCTATTGGACAATGTACATTGATTGCACAGGCAGCCCCTGCCAGAAAACGGGCCCTCTTGCTGACCAGGTAGTTTTTTTCAGTTGCCATGGTGACTTGGCAACCGTTTTGTACTAATATCATATATATGAGGGTATAGACCCCCATCTGCCTGTACATGTGTGAGTATGATATTACCACCTCCCCCTATAGAATGTATACACCCCTGTTTTGGTCCATTTTCCTTTATATTGTAAACAATAAAGAAAAACCCAGTGGTTATTAAATTCCAGCTCCAGGGAAATAAAAAAAATAAATAATTCCCCTTGCAGTGGTACTTTCCCCACACTGCAAGGGTTAACTGTTCATTTATGTCTAGGGTAGCCATGTAAATGACATTACCTTATTGAGGTGGTAACAATAATATAAGATAATCTGATGATTATCTTATATTATTATTAACAACCTGCAATCTGCATCTCAAGCTGAAACTAAAAACAAAAACACCTTTTCACTTCCTGTATTCCTTATAGGCTAACACTTCTGGATGTTAAATAGTGGAAGGTTTGTACTTATAGGAGAGTTTGTGCCAACATTATATACAGAAAGGATTTTAGGACAGCCCCCAGAATAGTAGGTAGGTGTTGTTTACATTCAACAGGTTTAGACATCAGAGTGTCCCCACCCACAGCTAATGAGATATCATGTCAGGCTGGAGCCACTTCACAGGGTGACAACAAGCCCTGTGCCCGGCCACTACATAAGGAGGCAAACCAGACATAAAATTAGCACTCTACAATGATCCATGGACACTCTTCGGGGACAATATACATACTCACCGCTCAGCTGTCACCAGACCGTACAGCCGACATCATACAATGAGCTCCTCTAAAAAATGCCGTGTGCGAAATACTTCCAGAAAAGAAAGGTTCCTAGCAAAATAAGTTACCGTAGGTGAAAAAACACACTGCACTCTGCTGACCTCTAGTGGTTCAAAGTGAGAAATGTTCTGATATCACAGAGAGGACAATATTTATATTTAGACTGGGGTCTCAAACTGAATTCACTTGGGAGCCACTGGACAAATTTTCTTCTCCTATGGGGGCTAAATAAAATGTCGTACTTCAAACAAAATGTAACCATATACGGTACCAGTGTTAGGGCTAGTTCACACCTGCCACAGTGCGTTCTGGCCCGATTCTGGCCGGAACGCACCGGATCGTATTGCGGCCGGCTCACTTTGTTGTTGGGCGGGAGGGGGTGTGGCGGTGCATTGAAGTAAATGGCACCGCAGCCACACCACGATGCGATCGGCCGCAGGGGAACGCAAGGCAGATCAATGCCTGCAGTCCGATCCGGTCAGAAAAAAATTATGCAAGCACTATTTTTTCTGACCGGGACGCAGGCATTGATGTGCCACGCGTTCCCGTGGAACGCACTGTGGCTGGTGTGAACTAGCCCTCAATGTCTTCATGTGTCTTCGTGTGTTTATAATGTCAATATACTGTAAGTGTTCATGATGGTTTCCTTGTATGCAATGTCATTATATTTATTGTGATGGTTTGTGTGTATTGTCAGGATTTCTGTGAGTGATGTGGGTATGTGTGTTAATGTTTCTGTGTGTAATATCAGTATATACATGTGTATACTTGTGCAGTGTCAGTATATGTGTATGCTTTTTTACCACAGCTTTTAATTTTAATCATAGAGAATCAACAATTTCACACATTTATTCACACACACAAATACGCACACACACAGAAATAGACACACACAGGAATATGCAAACACACACACAAATAGGCACACACACAGAAACACACACACAGAACTAGGCACAGAGAAATACGTACACACACAGAAATATGCACATACACAGAAATAGGCACACACAGGAATACGCACACGTACACAGACACAGAAATACACAGACAGAGAAAAACGCACACACACAGAAATATGCATGCACACAGGAATACGCACACACAGAAAACAAAACACACACGGAAATACACACATGGGCGGGCCGGTATTTGAGGCCCAGATTTAGAGCAACATTTTGCAACCTGGGTTCCTGGTTCCAGAGGCTGCTGGGGATTCCTTGAGAAGAGAGCAATGGCAGATTGATCTCCTGCTTTTACGAACCACCAATGAAAGTAGTCACTTCTATGCTAACCACCAATGTAAGGGGTGACTTCTATACAGAGCTCCAATGTAAAGGATCACTTCTACAGTGACCATCAATGTAAGGGCTCACTGCTAGGCTGACTGCCAATGTAAGGGATCACTTCTACAGTGACCATCAATGTAAGGGATCACTTCTACAGTGACCATCAATGTAAGGGGTCACTGCTAGGCTGAACACCAATATAAGGGGGCACTTCTACAGTGACCATCAATGTAAGGGGTCACTGCTAGGCTGAACACCAATATAAGGGGTCACTTCTACAGTGACCATCAATGTAAGGGCTCACTGCTAGGCTGACTGCCAATGTAAGGGATCACTTCTACAGTGACCATCAATGTAAGGGCTCACTGCTAGGCTGACTGCCAATGTAAGGGATCACTTCTACAGTGACCATCAATGTAAGGGCTCACTGCTAGGCTGACTGCCAATGTAAGGGATCACTTCTACAGTGACCATCAATGTAAGGGCTCACTGCTAGGCTGACTGCCAATGTAAGGGATCACTTCTACAGTGACCATCAATGTAAGGGCTCACTGCTAGGCTGACTGCCAATGTAAGGGATCACTTCTACAGTGACCATCAATGTAAGGGCTCACTGCTAGGCTGACTGCCAATGTAAGGGATCACTTCTACAGTGACCATCAATGTAAGGGCTCACTGCTAGGCTGACTGCCAATGTAAGGGATCACTTCTACAGTGACCATCAATGTAAGGGCTCACTGCTAGGCTGACTGCCAATGTAAGGGATCACTTCTACAGTGACCATCAATGTAAGGGCTCACTGCTAGGCTGACTGCCAATGTAAGGGATCACTTCTACAGTGACCATCAATGTAAGGGCTCACTGCTAGGCTGACTGCCAATGTAAGGGATCACTTCTACAGTGACCATCAATGTAAGGGCTCACTGCTAGGCTGACTGCCAATGTAAGGGATCACTTCTACAGTGACCATCAATGTAAGGGCTCACTGCTAGGCTGACTGCCAATGTAAGGGATCACTTCTACAGTGACCATCAATGTAAGGGCTCACTGCTAGGCTGACTGCCAATGTAAGGGATCACTTCTACAGTGACCATCAATGTAAGGGCTCACTGCTAGGCTGACTGCCAATGTAAGGGATCACTTCTACAGTGACCATCAATGTAAGGGCTCACTGCTAGGCTGACTGCCAATGTAAGGGATCACTTCTACAGTGACCATCAATGTAAGGGCTCACTGCTAGGCTGACTGCCAATGTAAGGGATCACTTCTACAGTGACCATCAATGTAAGGGCTCACTGCTAGGCTGACTGCCAATGTAAGGGATCACTTCTACAGTGACCATCAATGTAAGGGCTCACTGCTAGGCTGACTGCCAATGTAAGGGATCACTTCTACAGTGACCATCAATGTAAGGGCTCACTGCTAGGCTGACTGCCAATGTAAGGGATCACTTCTACAGTGACCATCAATGTAAGGGCTCACTGCTAGGCTGACTGCCAATGTAAGGGATCACTTCTACAGTGACCATCAATGTAAGGGCTCACTGCTAGGCTGACTGCCAATGTAAGGGATCACTTCTACAGTGACCATCAATGTAAGGGCTCACTGCTAGGCTGACTGCCAATGTAAGGGATCACTTCTACAGTGACCATCAATGTAAGGGCTCACTGCTAGGCTGACTGCCAATGTAAGGGATCACTTCTACAGTGACCATCAATGTAAGGGCTCACTGCTAGGCTGACTGCCAATGTAAGGGATCACTTCTACAGTGACCATCAATGTAAGGGCTCACTGCTAGGCTGACTGCCAATGTAAGGGATCACTTCTACAGTGACCATCAATGTAAGGGCTCACTGCTAGGCTGACTGCCAATGTAAGGGATCACTTCTACAGTGACCATCAATGTAAGGGCTCACTGCTAGGCTGACTGCCAATGTAAGGGATCACTTCTACAGTGACCATCAATGTAAGGGCTCACTGCTAGGCTGACTGCCAATGTAAGGGATCACTTCTACAGTGACCATCAATGTAAGGGCTCACTGCTAGGCTGACTGCCAATGTAAGGGATCACTTCTACAGTGACCATCAATGTAAGGGCTCACTTCTACAGTGACCATCAATGTAAGGGATCACTTCTACAGTGACCATCAATGTAAGGGATCACTTCTACAGTGACCATCAATGTAAGGGATCACTTCTACAGTGACCATCAATGTAAGGGGTCACTGCTAGGCTGAACACCAATATAAGGGGTCACTTCTACAGTGACCATCAATGTAAGGGATCACTTCTACAGTGACCATCAATGTAAGGGGTCACTGCTAGGCTGAACACCAATATAAGGGGTCACTTCTACAGTGACCATCAATGTAAGGGATCACTTCTACAGTGACCATCAATGTAAGGGTCACTGCTAGGCTGAACACCAATATAAGGGGTCACTTCTACAGTGACCATCAATGTAAGGGATCACTTCTACAGTGACCATCAATGTAAGGGGTCACTGCTAGGCTGAACACCAATATAAGGGGTCACTTCTACAGTGACCATCAATGTAAGGGATCACTTCTACAGTGACCATCAATGTAAGGGGTCACTGCTAGGCTGACCACCAATGTAAGGGATCACTTCTACAGTGACCATCAATGTAAGGGATCACTTCTACAGTGACCATCAATGTAAGGGGTCACTGCTAGGCTGACCACCAATGTAAGGGATCACTTCTACAGTGACCATCAATGTAAGGGATCACTTCTACAGTGACCATCAATGTAAGGGGTCACTGCTAGGCTGACCACCAATATAAGGGGTCACTTCTACAGTGACCATCAATGTAAGGGATCACTTCTACAGTGACCATCAATGTAAGGGATCACTTCTACAGTGACCATCAATGTAAGGGCTCACTGCTAGGCTGACCGCCAATGTAAGGGATCACTTCTACAGTGACCATCAATGTAAGGGATCACTTCTACAGTGACCATCAATGTAAGGGGTCACTGCTAGGCTGAACACCAATATAAGGGGTCACTTCTACAGTGACCATCAATGTAAGGGATCACTTCTACAGTGACCATCAATGTAAGGGCTCACTGCTAGGCTGACCACCAATGTAAGGGATCACTTCTACAGTGACCATCAATGTAAGGGATCACTTCTACAGTGACCATCAATGTAAGGGCTCACTGCTAGGCTGACCGCCAATGTAAGGGATCACTTCTACAGTGACCATCAATGTAAGGGATCACTTCTACAGTGACCATCAATGTAAGGGATCACTTCTACAGTGACCATCAATGTAAGGGGTCACTGCTAGGCTGAACACCAATATAAGGGGTCACTTCTACAGTGACCATCAATGTAAGGGGTCACTACTAGGCTGATCACCAATGTAAGGGGTCATTGCTAGGCTGACCACCAATGTAAATGATTACTTCTACAGTGACCATCAATGTAAGGGCTCACTGCTAGGCTAACCACCAATGTAAGGGATCACTACTACAATGACCACCAATGTAAGGGGTTACTGCTGAGCTGACCACCAATGTAAGGGATCACTTATACAGTGACCACCAATGTAAGGGGTCATTGCTAGGCTGACCACCAATGTAAATGATCACTTCTACAGTGACCATCAATGTAAGGGGTCACTGCTAGGCTGACCACCAATGTAAGGGGTCACTTCTACAATGGCCACCAATGTAAGGGGCAGGTCCATCCCTATAATTAATGAGACAGCTT